AAACCTACTGGCGGCTTTGGGGTCATGTTGGGAATTTTTTACAAGATAGGGGGGCGCTCACTGAAGGCATGATGCCTCTATCGGCTACCCAACTTACTGTGTTCGAGTTTTGAATCTTACAGTATACCTACAACTGCAAGAAGGCGCTATGCACACCTCCAGTCGAGCAGCTTATGGGGCTCCTGTGCAGTGCAGGGATTAAAGTTATCAAAATTATACTTACAGGGAAAAAGAGCACAGCAGAAAATACATTAATTTTATGTTTTCTGACCTTCCTGGGTGCGGAACTTCCTGAGGATGGATGCATGGTGTGGTGAAAGGCTATGGTGGGAGGCGTGGTGGAGGGCGAGGTAGAGGGCGTGGAGCGAGGCGTGGTGAAGGGCGAGGTGGAGGGCGTGGACAGTGTTGCGGAGGACTGTGGTGGAGGAGCACGGCCCTCACCCCCGCCCTCCCACCTATGGCTATCACCACCGTCTACGGCAGCCGCCACAGTCCAGACATCTCCACCAACCGTAATGTTGTGATAAAAGGGTACTTTAAGTAGCTGATGAAACCTTATAACAATAAATAATTATTGTTTACGTATAAATGTGCCTGTAATAAATATCCTTATGCCTGGAACTTCTTAGTAAATATTGTCGTCATCTGTATAAACATACATATTTTATTCAAGTGAGATATTTGTCACTTGTATAAACCGTGTATAAGATGAGTTGTTTTCAGGCCCCATCAAACAGCCCGTTGTATGCCACCTAGCATTGGACAGAACTAAACCTCTTATCGAGTATCTATGACAATCATCCCTTTAACAATCAAAATTGCATGAAGTTCAATTATTTAAATATATGTAAGTATATTGAGTAACATTAAGGTAAACATTGTAATATTTTGTTTACATTGATGATATAATGTTCTCTACAGCCTCCTCTGCAGGTTGCGTTAAATTTGCAAACAAAACCCAGATCATATCAAGCAGTGCTATACTAGGAATGGAACGATCATTGTAAAGAATGAAGACAGGATAAAGATATGAGGACTCGCCCTAAAAATACAGAGTAACAACTTCGTTTCCTTGCCTATGCCCTTCCCTGTCCAGCTCGCTGCTGCCGTGAGGGGGCTTGGTGGGAGGCTGCCGGAGTGTGATGCTCCTTGGGGCGGTCCCCCTTTCCTTTTGTAGCCTTGTGCTCCTGCTGCTGTCCCCTCAAATTTTGCTGGACGCCTTTCCTTTTCCTTTTGTTTCGTTTTTCTCCCCCTCCCTCTTCTCCTTTCTCGTTGTCATTTCCTGCTGACCTTGTGCCTGTTTTGATCATTCTTTGGCCTGCTTTTGTTTTGACGCCCGAGTGCTTGAGGAGGTATACTCTTGCACCCGTAGAACTGTAGTATCCAACTTCAAGAGCCAGGGGAACCTTTTATTGTCAATCCCCCTTTCGTCGCTGAACCCGATCTCGACGGACTGACGGTTCTTAAGGTGGCGTTTGTGGGCGTATACTCACGACACACCCCTAGGGGGCCCCAGCTTGATCGGCGATAGCTTCTTGTTGGGTGTCCTGCCTCTAATTGTGGCTCCATGGTGGGTATGGGGGCACATTCATGAGTGAAAATATTTATTTTCGTGTCTATGTTGAAGATTGTTCCTCTTGTACCCTCTCAGGCTCATGGGGTGGGCGACCAAGCCCTCGAGTCGGACTGTATTGGAAGACCAGGCTCTGTAGCCCACGCTGCGTTGGGCCCCGACTTTACTCCTCCTTGACCCTTCTGAATACTCCCCTCGGCTCCCCTCCCTCCTCTGCGGTTGGGTCGAGCCCCAAGCCCCCAGTGGAGACCACCTCGTTTCCTGGCATGGCTCAGTCTCTAGTTGTGACTACTGCACCTTTTAACCCCCCTTTCTCTCTCTGGGGGTTCTCAACGCCGTCCTCTCTCGATTCCTTCCCGTGCTGATGCGTATCGGGCCTTGTTTGGTCCCACTTCGTGGGATAAATACTTTGATCTCCTCCCTCTTGATTCTGCGCCTCCTGACGATTTCTCCCTTCATAGGCACCTTGTTGATTCCATAGATGCCTCTGTTACTTTCCACCCCACCCGACTCGGTGCACATGTCATTGCTGCTTCTTCTCAGGATGCAGCCTCCCACTTGGCCGCCTTGTCTTGCCTTGGCGTACCCGTGTTCGCGTCTCCAAGAACGCTCGGTTGAATGCCAGTGTTGGCACTATTCTCCTCCCACCCCATGTTGCTACCGGTGTTCGGAATCTCCAGGACTGCCATAAGGATATTCGTCATATCCTCGATGTCCAGGGCCATTCTGTCCTCTAGGTAAACTCGTTTACTCGTCCTCCTCGTGGTCGTCGCCGTCAACCCCTTCCGATTGTGATCGACTACCTTTTATGGTAGGACCCTTCTGCTGTCTGCCATACATGCAGGTGCCAGGTGCTCCGTCCAGGAGTACATTCCCTCTCCTCGACTCTGTAGTAAGTGCTGGAGGTTTGGGCATGGTGCCCTCCGCTGCTCTGGAAACTGTCTCTCTCTTTCCTTTGTGTGGGGGCGAAGGTCACTCTAAGTCGGAGTGCACTTCTCCCCAGGCTCGCTGCCTCAACTGCGGTGAGGCCCACCCTACCTTCTCCCGTGCATGTATACATTACAAGCTTGAGGCAGCCGTCCTCCACTTGAAGCACCATGAGCATTTATCTTTTCTTAAGGCGAGGCACCAGGTTCGCCGGCACCCGCATTATGCTAACGTCTCTTATGCTCATGTGTTGCGCTCTTCCTCTCCTCGTCCTTCCCACCTTCCTCAGACCCGAAACCGTTTCCAGGCCTTGGACCCTGATATGCCCACCGCTCCTCCTCTGTTCCATTGAGTTCTGTACCGAAGGGTCTCCCTCCTGGTCTTCTGTCTGGGGTTCACCTTCTTCCTGCTCGGTCTGTCATGTCTCCTATGTCTTCTTCCTTGTCGCCTTCCGATCCTCCTTCCCATCCTTCTCCTCCGTCTATTGGCTTTCCAAGCTGCCTGTCGGTACGGGCTGATGTCCATCGCTCTCCCAACGGCCGTCGTGTGTGCTCTCATTCAGCTTCTCCTCTTGAGACACTGGAATCCGTTGCCCTCCTCTTTACATACCAGAAAACATACTAAGAAAGCTACTCCAAGCCTGTACGAAAGGGGCACCCTTATTGAGTCCAGATGGGCACATGTATAAGCAAGTAGATGGGGTCGTCATGGGCTCTCCCCTGGGTGTCCTGTTTGCGAACTTCTACATGGGTACCATAGAGCAGAGGGTCTTAGTTAACATGGACTTGAAATCTGAAACACTGAAACCTTGAAACACTAAGGAAACAAAAAAAGGAATGGGCCTTAATGCCAATAGTGACTGCCCAGACAGGTACAAGCGGAGTGTTCTTAATGCTTACATCGACCAGGCTCTAAGTCTAAGTCACAGGTCACGATGGAAGCAAGTCGATGAAGAGTTCTGTATGGTAAGGCAGGTCCTAGTCAACAATGGCTTCCCTAACGGTTATGTTGAAGACGTCATAAAAAGAAAGGTGAAATGCCATGCAGCATCTGAAGTGTCAACTAACACAACACTTGTACCCCCTATATTAGACTGTTTTACAGGAACTTCTTTTCGACTGCTCATAAAAACAGGGGAAAGTGTCCTGAAAGATATTATTAATAGGAACGTTATCCCTACAGACAAAAATCAGAAAATACAATTGACAATAAACCACAAACACACAAAAAAAAACGGTCAATCTACTCATGAAAAACTCCCCAGACACCAAACAGAACGCCTTGGTGGAAACTAACGACGTCTATGCCTTAACGTGCCCACTTGGAGACTTTAAGCCCCAAAGAACTTAGTATATAGGCAAGACAACAACGTCTCCCCCGCCACGTCGCTACTGCTTGCTATCTCCAGCGTTTCCTCACAAAACACCCCCCCCCCCCCCCATCCATCCGCTTAGACAAGGGGTTGGTGAACGATTAATTTTACATAATTAAAGGCTTATGACAAAAGTAATCGTTCTCAAACAGACATAAACAAATTACTATTATGAATTAATATATGCACATAATATAACTAAAGTATAACATGCTTTATGAATGCGTAAATAAGAGTTTATTTAATATAAAGTGACGACATCTGGCAACACAACAGTTGATCACGTCTAGCTATACTTGTCCACCAACCTCACAGGTGTTACACAGGTCCACTTCAAGTCTACTCAACAAAGGCAGCCACGTCCTCAATTACGTTACCATGTCCTACTGAACATTTTAAAAAGCTAACACACATATATGTATAAATGTTTATTTAATTTCTTATTATATGAATTTACTGCGAGAATCCATAACTACATGGATTCGTAACACTGTGCAGGGTCTTAGTCTCAGTAAAGCGACGGTCTCGCTTCATGCAGGTCAGCGTTCAATCCCCGATTGTCAAAGTGGTTGGGAACCATTCCTTCCTCCCCCCAGTCCCATCCCAAATCATAATCCTGATCCCTTCCAAGTGCTTTAAAGGCATAATAGCATGGCACTTTCTCCTGATAGTTCCCTTCCCTTCTCTGTCTCTCTGTATCTCTCACTTTGATTCCCTCTCTTTATCCCCTCATTCCTCGTCTCTGACTCTAAATATTTCCTCTGTGCCTTTTTTTTTACTAAAGCTAGGGTTTATAAGGGCTGTCAAATGATGTACCAAGTGAAACTGCAAGCAAGAGCTGTTATCCTACCTCAGTTCATTTGAAGCCTGCTCCTAGACAACGAAAACAAAGTACCTGAGGGCAAGGTGAGTGGTACTGCTGATGAACGTGAGGTCGAGAATAAGTCCCTGGCAGGTGGTTCTTGAGTCCCCCCACAGATCCTGCAGGAGGTTCTCTCGTGTGAGTTGTTCTTGTGATGATCCCTGCTTCCATGATTTTGGTGGGAGAAGCGTTGCGTTGGGCACAAGGGAAAGGATATCCCATGGTGGTCGATGGTGACTATAGAAAAATGAATCTACATCCACGACTACCCTGGTCTCCACGAACCTGGAGAGGTGCAACAAGTTTAGCAGCTTGTTGGCTTAATTGATTTTAAATACACTTTTAAGGAAATGATCTTAGAAAGCTTAATTATCTGTTGCTTACTTTTACCAGATCATTAGCACAATTTCATTCAATGAGCAACATAAACAGCTGAGCATTAAATCTTACAGATGTATAAAACCTAATAAACTCAATAGAAATATCTGTAATAACAGAAAGTTTTAATTAAATTTTTCGTTCAATGTTCGGATATGTACATAACTTTTTATATAACTTATATATTTAAGAATTTTGTACTCTATGTTTAATAGAGATATTGGTACATTACAATGATGTACTCTAGGCATCATATGTAGTCACAAATGATTATGAAGCATTGCAGTCCAGTATACATATAATATATATATATATATATATATATATATATATATATATATATATATATATATATATATATATATATATATATATATATATATATGTCGTACCTAGTAGCCAGAATGCATTTCTCAGCCTACTATGCAAGGCCCGATTTGCCTAATAAGCCAAGTTTCATGAATTAATGTTTTTTCGACTACCTAACCTACCTAACCTAACCTAACCTAACTTTTTCGGCAACCTAACCTAACCTAACCTATAAAGATAGGTTAGGTTAGGTTAGGTAGGGTTGGTTAGGTTTGGTCATATATCTACGTTAATTTTAACTCCAATAAAAAAAAATTGACCTCATACATAATGAAATGAGTAGCTTTATAATTTCATAAGAAAAAAATTAGAGAAAAATATATTAATTCAGGAAAACTTGGCTTATTAGGCAAATCGGCCCTTGCATAGTAGGCTGAGAAGTGCGTTCTGGCTACTAGGTACGACATATATATATATATATATATATATATATATATATATATATATATATATATATATATATATATATATATATATATATATGTCGTACCTAGTAGCCAGAACTCACTTTTTGGCCTACTATTCAAGGCCCGATTTGCCTAATAAGCCAAGTTTTCATGAATTAATGCTTTTCGACTACCTAACCTACCTAACCTAACCTAACCTAACTTTTCCGGCTACCTAACCTAACCTAACCTATAAAGATAGGTTAGGTTAGGTTAGGTAGGGTTGGTTAGGTTCGGTCATATATCTGCGTTAATTTTAACTCCAATAAAAAAAAATTGACCTCATACATAATGAAAGGGGTAGCTTTATCATTTCATAAGAAAAAAATTAGAAAAAATATATTAATTCAGGAAAACTTGGCTTATTAGGCAAATCGGGCCTTGAATAGTAGGACAAAAAGTGAGTTCTGGCTACTAGGTACGACATATATATATATATATATATATATATATATATATATATATATGTCGTACCTAGTAGCCAGAATGCACTTCTAGGCCTACTATGCAAAGCCCAATTTGCCTAATAAGCCAAGTTTTCATGAATTAATTGTTTTTCGACTACCTAACCTACCTAACCTAACCTAACCTAACTTTTTCGGCTACCTAACTTACCTAACCTATAGAGATAGGTTAGGTTAGGTTAGGTAGGGTTGGTTAGGTTCGGTCATATACCTATGTTAATTTTAACTCTAATAACAAAAAACTGACCTTATACATTATGAAATGGGTAGCTTTATTATTTCATAAGAAAAAAATTAGAGAAAATATATTAATTCATGAAAACTTGGCTTATTAGGCAATTTGGGCCTTGCATAGTAGGCTGAGAAGTGCGTTCTGGCTACTAGGTACGACATATATATATATATATATATATATATATATATATATATATATATATATATGTCGTACCTAGTAGCCAGAACGCACTTCTCAGCCTACTATACAAGGCCCGATTTGCCTAATAAGCCAAGTTTTCAAGAATTAATATATTTTCTTAATTTTTTTTCTTATGAAATGATAAAGCAACCCATTTCATTATGTATGAGGTCAATTTTTTTTTATTGGAGTTAAAATTAATGTAGATATATGACTGAACCTAACCAACCCTACCTAACCTAACCTAACCTATCTTTATACGTTAGGTTAGATTAGGTAGCCGAAAAAGTTAGGTTAGGTTAGGTTAGGTAGGCTAGGTAGTCGAAAAACAATTAATTCATGAAAACTTGGCTTATTAGGCAAATCGGACCTTGCATAGTAGGCTGAGAAGTGCGTTCTGGCTACTAGGTACGACATATATATATATATATATATATATATATATATATATATATATATATGTCGTACCTAGTAGCCAGAACGCACTTATCAGCCTACTATGCAAAGCCCAATTTGCCTAATAAGCCAAGTTTCCATGAATTAATGTTTTTTCGTCTACCTAACCTACCTAACCTAACCAAACCTAGCTTTTTTTGGCTACCTAACCTAACCTTACCTATAAATATAGGTTAGGTTAGGTTAGGTAGGGTTGGTTAGGTTCGGTCATATATCTACGTTAATTTTAACTCCAATAAAAAAAAATTGACCTCATACATGGAGAAAAGGGTTGCTTTATCATTTCATAAGAAAAAAATTATAGTCAATATATTAATTCAGGAAAACTTGGCTTTTTAGGCAAATTGGGCCTTGAATAGTAGGCTGAGAAGTGAGTTCTGGCTACTAGGTACGACATATATATATATATATATATATATATATATATATATATATATATATATATATATATATATATATATATATATATATATATATATATATATATATATGTCGTACCTAGTAGCCAGAACGCACTTCTCAGCCTACTATGCATGGCCCGATTTGCCTAATAAGCCAAGTTTTCATGAATTAATGTTTTTTCGACTACCTAACCTACCTAACCTAACCTAACCTAACTTTTTTGGCTACCTAACCTAACCTAACCTATAAAGATAGGTTAGGTTAGGTTAGGTAGGGTTGGTTAGGTTCGGTCACATATCTACGTTAATTTTAACTCCAATAAATAAAATTGACCTCATACATAATGAAATGGGTAGCTTTATCATTTCATAAGAAAAAATTTAGAGAAATTATATTAATTCAGGAAAACTTGGCTTATTAGGCAAATCGGGCCTTGCATAGTAGGCCGAGAAGTGCGTTCTGGCTACTAGGTACGACATATATATATATATATATATATATATATATATATATATATATATATATATATATATATATATATATATATATATATATATATATATATATGTCGTACCTAGTAGCCAGAACGCACTTCTCAGCCTACTATGCAAGGCCCGATTTGCCTAATAAGCCAAGTTTTCCTGAATTAATATATTTTTTCTATTTTTTTTCTTATGAAATGATAAAGCTACCCATTTCATTATGTATGAGGTCAATTTTTTTTATTGGAGTTAAAATTAACGTAGATATATGATCGAATCTAACCAACCCTACCTAACCTAACCTAACCTATCTTTATAGGTTAGGTTAGGTTAGGTAAATATATATATATATATATATATATATAAATATATATATATATATATATATATATATATATATATATATATATATATATATATATATATATATATATATGTCGTACCTAGTAGCCAGAACGCACTTCTCAGCCTACTATGCAAGGCCCAATTTGCCTAATAAGCCAAGTTTTCATGAATTAATTGTTTCTCGACTACCTAACCTACCTAACCTAACCTAACCTAACTTTTTCTGCTACCTAACCTAACCTAACCTATAAAGATAGGTTAGGTTAGGTTAGGTAGGGTTGGTTAGGTTCGGTCATATATCTATGTTAATTTTAACTCCAATAAAAAAAATTGACCTCATACATAATGAAATGGGTAGCTTTATCATTTCATAAGAAAAAAATTAGAGGAAATATATTAATTCAGGAAAACTTGGCTTATTAGGCAAATCGGGCCTTGCATAGTAGGCTGAGAAGTGCGTTCTGGCTACTAGGTACGACATATATATATATATATATATATATATATATATATGTCGTACCTAATAGCCAGAACGCACTTCTCAGCCTACTATTCAAGGCCCGATTTGCCTAATAAGCCAAGTTTTCATGAATTAATGTTTTTTCGTCAACCTAACCTACCTAACCTAACCTAACCTAGCTTTTTTGGCTACCTAACCTAACCTTACCTATAAATATAGGTTAGGTTAGGTTAGGTAGAGTTGGTTAGGTTCGGTCATATATCTACGTTAATTTTAACTCCAATAAAAAAAAATTGACCTCATACATAGAGAAAAGGGTTGCTTTATCATTTCATAAGAAAAAAATTATAGTAAATATATTAATTCAGGAAAACTTGGCTTATTAGGCAAATCGGGCCTTGAATAGTAGGCTGAGAAGTGAGTTCTGGCTACTAGGTACGACATATATATATATATATATATGCAAACAAGCCTGAATGGTCCCCAAGACTATATACAACTGAATATATATATATATATATATACTATATAGAATATAGTATATATATATATATATATATATATATATATATATATATATATATATATATATATATATATATATATATATATATATATATATATATATATATATATATATATAATATTTATGATCGATGTTCCCTTCGGGAATCTTAATTTTAAGATGAATAGGAAAACCAGGGATATACTGAACATCTTGTTTCAGATTCTTTACTTTAAAATGCATAACGTTTCGAATACTTCTCGTATTCATCATCAGATCTAAAAGAAGAAATTGTGATTTCTGTTTTTTCTTTTAGATCTGATGATGAATACGAGAAGTATTCGAAACATTATGCATTTTAAAGTAAAGAATCTGAAACAAGATGTTCAGTATATCCCTGGTTTTCCTATTCATCTTAAAAAAAAAAAAATATATATATATATATATATATATATGTCGTACCTAGTAGCCAGAACGCACTTCTCAGCCTACTATGCAAGGCCCGATTTGCCTAATAAGCCTAGTTTTCATGAATTAATGTTTTTTCGACTACCTAACCTACCTAACCTAACCTAACCTAACGTTTTCGGCTACCTAACCTAACCTAACCTATAAAGATAGGTTAGGTTAGGTTAGGTAGGGTTGGTTAGGTTCGGTCATATATCTACGTTAATTTTAACTCCAATAAAAAAAAATTTCCCTCATACATAATAAAATGAGTAGCTTTATCATTTCATAAGAAAAAAATTAGAGAAAACATATTAATTCAGGAAAACTTGGCTTATTAGGCAAATCGGGCCTTGCATAGTAGTCCAAAAAGTGCGTTCTGGCTACTAGGTACGACATATATATATATATATATATATATATATATATATATATATATATATATATATATATATATATATATATATATATATATATATATATATATATATAGTATATTTTGGTAGCAGTCTTTCCTGTAGACATATATTATTAAATATGACCGAAAAAGTAAGATTAATAATTCTAACACGAATTTTCTCAATCTTTCGTACATTTCTTTTCACTGTTGGAGGTAAATCAAAAATCAATTCTCCAAAATTCATTTTTATTTTTAGTCTGACGCGACACGAGCGCGTTTCGTAAAACTTATTACATTTTCAAAGACTTTAGTTTACAAATACACAACTGAATAGAACTTTCGCATCTCCGATTTTATATCTACATTTGAGTGAAGTGGATGGGGTGAGGTGGCATTAATAGGGTATTAATTTCATCAACACAAGACAGAACAAGAGGTGGCATTAATAGGGTATTAATTTCATCAACACAAGACAGAACACGAAACAATGGGTATTGAATAGAAGTGTTTGTAGAAAGCCTATTGGTCCATATTTCTTGATGCTTCTATATTGGAGCGGAGTCTTGAGGTGGGTAGAATATAGTTGTGCATTAATTGGCTGTTGATTGCTGGTGTTGACTTCTTGATGTGTAGTGCCTCGCAAACGTCAAGCCGCCTGCTATCGCTGTATCTATCGATGATTTCTGTGTTGTTTACTAGGATTTCTCTGGCGATGGTTTGGTTGTGGGAGGAGATTATATGTTCCTTAATGGAGCCCTGTTGCTTATGCATCGTTAAACGCCTAGAAAGAGATGTTGTTGTCTTGCCTATATACTTGGTTTTTTGGAGCTTACAGTCCCCAAGAGGGCATTTGAAGGCATAGACGACGTTGGTCTCTTTTAAACCATGGAATGATTACAGGGGTAATTTTTGAAACAAATTTCTTTTTGAAGAATTCCATGTACAAATTTGAAATCAATGGCGATAAAGGATTCCCCATTGCCATTCCAAATGTCTGTAAATAATACTCATTATTAAAGGTAAAAGTACATTCTTTAATGCACAACTTAACAAGATTGACAACAATATCAGCAGAAAGAGGTAAAACATGATTAATTAGTTCATGAGCTAGCTTATCAAGAATATCATCAACCCGTACCTTTGCAAAGAAGGAACAATCGTGAAAACTGATTAATTTTACATCATTAGTGACAGGAACACAATTCAATTTGTTACCCTAATTCAAGACATTTGGTCAAATGAGAAGAGGAAATAGTTCCTAACAAAGGGGACAAGATTTTGCTAAGCCATTTAAAAAGCTTGTAAGAAATGGATCCCACAGAACTGATGATAGGTCTCATGGGATTGTTTGGTCTATTCGTCTTGACAAGTCCATGGATATATGGTAATGAAGGTGATGAGGTAGTAAATTGATTAAGAAGATCTTTATGTTTACTTAACAACTTCCTCAAGCTGCAATTGAAGAACTTGATGATATCCTCAAGAGGATTTTTCCTGAGTTTAGTGTATGTTGAAGAATCTTGGAGATCATTCATTTTCGAAATATATTCCTCCTTGTTTAGAATAACAATAGTGCTGGATTTATCAGCCTTTGTTATATGAATGGAGATGTTGGCTCTTAACTCCTGTAAGCTTCGTCTGAACCTTTCAGGGAAATTGTTTGTTTGAGGCGTCAACATTGAATCATAAACAATACCTTTACCAGGTTTAGGTTTTGTGGAGAGAGAGAGAGTTTTGTTTTTCAAGCTGTAACAATGAACTAACATTCTTAACTGCAGAAGGTTGATCTGAAATGGCAAATGACATACCATAACCCAAAGCAGTAACCACATTTTCACATATCGACTTTGGATGACAATTTCAACACGTTGTTTGGACTTGATTTCTTTGTCCAATCGTTTTTTAATCAGACTTTCTAACTTGCGCTCTAGAATTTTCTGTAACTGATTAACTTTTCTGCGTAAGTCAATGTATATTTTATTCATCCGAAAAATTTTCCAGTCCAAAGGCATTGCATGATGAAAGTTTCTTTTTGCTGCATCCAGGCTTTTGAAAACAAAACGTTCACTTGATATTGTAACTTCAATGTGTTTTTTCAAAATGGTAGCACAGAAATCACTGAACGGTTGATCACCTAATTTGAAGAGACGGGCAGGTAGCAGAGACTTGGGTACAACTTGCTCACTAAGACATTGTTTCAGGAATTTGAGGCGGATGCGGGTGCAGTGTGCTTTCACTAGTAGAGTAGCGAAGATGGTCACGAAGGAAGCAGTCTGAGGGAACATCATGGCGAAAGAGCGCGTGGTTCTCATTATGTGTGTAAATCACGAAAATTAACACGTGATGAAAAATGTGACAGTGTCAGATCACGAAGGAAGAATTGAAACAGGAATTTCCGTAAGTACTTTCGTTTAATAAATTATGTTTTTGACATTTATTTATGTTTCTCTTTTTATTTTCTTCAGGAGTTGGAGACCACATTCGCTGTTTTTATTGCGCTGGAGGAATTTCCAACTTTGAACCCTCGGACGACCCCTGGACACTCCATGCTCGATACTATCCCAACTGCTTTTACATTAATTTGATGAAAGACCGAACTTTCATTAAGAATGCGGTCCCCTTTTTCCTCCACAGCTCGAGAAGCTTATAGATGATACTTTGATTATCTCCCTCATGCATGGACTAGGGTATTTCCACACGATGGCCAATACAATGAGCTTCACATTCACTACTGTATGAGCTGCGGTATGCGAATATCTGAAGACCTCAAAGGACTTAATACCGCTCATTGCAAGAACAAACTGTGTAGAGCTGATGTTCTGGCTTCACACAAATCATCATTTCACATGCAAGATGTTGTAAGAAGCCAGCCCGATGCAGCAGAAGAAGAATCACACTAAGAACTTATAATGAACCTAGGGGTTATCACGACTCGTCCAGTTCCTACAGTCGTGGATCCTGGTGAGTGTGGCGAGGCTGCAGAAGAGAATCAAATTCTGGGTTTGGGTAGATTAAAATGTAAAGTCTGTTTTAGCGGTGAAATAAATATAGTTTATAGTTCTCCTTCTCTGCAGGCATATGGTGTTATGATCAGATTGCATAACACGGTGTAAAACATGTCCAGTATGTTGCAGAGATGTAACTCATCTGCTACTCCCTTTCATTTCGTAATAAACAAATATAAAAGCCAAATCTTTATATTACCCATCATTATTATTGGGAGATGTGTATGTGGTGGTGGTGATTGCATGTTAAGGAGTCAGTCCTCTCCCTTGAAAGTGTATATAAACCCATGGGAGGGGTGTAGGTCGACACCCCCACCCCCTTTCCTTCCACAAAGATCGCACAACCATCTGCTGAGAGCCTGGGTCAGGCCCTGGCAATAATTCGCCGTACGTTCCTCTAAGCTAAGACGAGTGATGGGAATAACGTTAATATATTAAAGTGATGTTAATGATAGTAGTGTAAATGGTATGCTGGTAATAAGGTCTTATCGTTTTAGATTACCTGGAGAATGAGAGCAGACGATGATCCGTTGGGGGAAACATTTATATTTTCCTAGTGCATATATTGGGCATAGTATTTCATCAAATTACCTCATGCTTAACATCTCATGCTTTCAGTTGCATATATACCTGGGGACCATTCAGGCTTGTTTGCATTTGTGTTCCTCACGTGTGCCCCAAAGAATGAGGTGATTTGATAAAATACTATATCGAAGATTACCATCAGAATGCTGGTGGGATGATAGGGAATTAGCCTCGGCTACCATCATATTTTATCCAGTCGTGATGGTCGAGTGGTTAAGATGTCCTGTACTCCAGTTGCAGAGTGCTCCTGGCAGTATGGGTTCGAGTCATTTCTGGGGTGTGAGTTTTCAGTTGCATATATGCCTGGGGACCATTCAGGCTTGTTCCCACTTGTGTTCCTCACGTGTGCCCCCAAAAATGAGGTGATTTGATAAAATATGATGCCCAAGATTACCATCAGAGTGCCGGCGGGATGATGTGGAACTAGCCTCGGCTACCATCATCTTTAGTCCGGTAGTGATGGTCGTGTGGTTAAGGTGTCCTGTACACCAGTTGCAGAATGCTCCTGGCAGTATGGGTTCGAGTCACTTCTGGGGTGTGAGCTTACAGTTGCATATATGCCTGGGGGAACGTTCAGGCTTGTTCGCATATATATGTGAACACATTACAATATATATGCGAAAGTCACATTATTAAATAAATGAAATCAATTTACCTGAGTATGTTGGAGGTGACGAGTGAGTGACGGGTAGTGGTGATGAGTACCAGGTGACAGCCAGTGAGATGGTGCTCCACCACCTGACCCACAGCCAAGCCTACATCCACGCCCACCTGGCCCACCATCACACCACTTTCCATTGATCCAACCAATGCCAGACTGAATGCGGGTACAGCACAAACCGCCGCCACTATGATCTCACGCAGACAATACGGCATTGTGATCTGAAATTAAACAGTACATTGTCAAATCAAAAATATTATTTGTAATTACTTTCTCTGGCATAAATATAAGAGAAAGCATTTGGCAGTCACAATTCATCTAGACGACAAAGTTCAGCTGGAATGCCAACGTGTTACTTTATCGTGGCTTTCCCAGATGTGTTACGATGGTAATCCATAAAGAGAGCAGATCATTTTGTTACAATCATTACGATGATTAAGGATCGATCTCGGATATGTTACCCAAGGAGCCGTCACTATGAACCAGCAAGAGTACACACAAGAAAGATGGACGCAGGACACAACCAAACTGCTCCTGAAACCTGCCAAATAATCAAACCCCATGAGAACCACCACAGAGTACTCTCACCCTGGAGAACCACCACAGAGTACTCTCACCCTGGAGAACCACCACTGAGTACTCTCACCCTGGAGAACTACCACAGAGTACTCTCACCCTGGAGAACCACGACAGAGTACTCTCACCCTGGAGAACCACCACAGAGTACTCTCACCCTGGAGAACCACCACAGAGTACTCTCACCCTGGAGAACTACCACAGAGTACTCTCACCCTGGAGAACCACGACAGAGTACTCTCACCCTGGAGAACCACCACAGAGTACTCTCACCCTGGAGAACCACCACAGAGTACTCTCACCCTGGAGAACCACCACAGAGTACTCTCACCCTGGAGAACCACCACAGAGTACTCTCACCCTGGAGAACCACCACTGAGTACTCTCACCCTGGAGAACCACCACAGAGTACTCTCACCCTGGAGAACCACCACAGAGTACTCTCACCCTGGAGAACCACCACAGAGTACTCTCACCCTGGAGAACCACCACAGAGTACTCTCACCCTGGAGAACCACCACAGAGTACTCTCACGCTGGAGAACCACCACAGAGTACTCTCACTCTGGAGAACCATGACAGAGTACTCTCACCCTGGAGAACCACCACAGAGTACTCTCACCCTGGAGAACCACCACAGAGTACTCTCACCCTGGAGAACCACCACAGAGTACTCTCACCCTGGAGAACCACCGCAGAGTACTCTCACCCTGGAGAACCACCACAGAGTACTCTCACTCTGGAGAACCACGACAGAATACTCTCACCCTGGAGAACCACCACAGAGTACTCTCACCCTGGAGAACCACCACAGAGTACTCTCACCCTGGAGAACCACCACAGAGTACTCTCACGCTGGAGAACCACCACAGAGTACTCTCACCCTCTGAACCACCACAGAGTACTCGCAAGCTGGAGAACCACCACAGAGTACTCTCACCCTGGAGAACCACCACAGAGTACTCTCACCCTGGAGAACCACCACAGAGTACTCTCACCCTGGAGAACCACCACAGAGTACTCTCACCCTGGAGAACCACCACAGAGTACTCTCACCCTGGAGAACCACCACAGAGTACTCTCACCCTGGAGAACCACCACAGAGTACTCTCACGCTGGAGAACCACCACAGAGTACTCTCACCCTCTGAACCACCACAGAGTACTCTCAAGCTGGAGAACCACCACAGAGTACTCTCACCCTGGAGAACTACCACAGAGTACTCTCACCCTGGAGAACCACACCCTGGAGAACCACCACAGAGTACTCTCACAGAGTACTCTCACCCTGGAGAACCACCACAGAGTACTCTCACCCTGGAGAACCACCACAGAGTACTCTCACCCTGGAGAACCACCACAGAGTACTCTCACCCTGGAGAACCACTACAGAGTACTCTCACCCTGGAGAACATTCACAGAGTACTCTCACCCTGGAGAACATTCACAGAGTACTATCACCCTGCAGAATCACGACAGTAACCCTAACTAGTCAATCAAAATTTATATTGATAATTGGCAGTACATTTATAATTGTTAAACTTTACATAAAAAATGAGGTACACTAATTACTTAAGAGAGTCACATTAACAGAAAATCAAGTAGATATTGTCTATACAGAATTCTGAATCTTAATTAGTATGAACTTATGCAATGGCGATATATATTGTAAAGACAATATACATAAAAAGCTACGATGATGACACAATTAATGATAGTTCATATATAAATTAATCATACCGTGACGTTGTACATATTTACAATTACACAGCAGTGAACGTGAAAAGATTCTGGTGCTGTCCTTGCTCAAAACAAGTCCAAACACACATCTCATACAGCATCTATCAGACATCAGTTGGACTCAATGGAGCTGTTAGTAATCTCTCTCCTTGTAACGTAAGTTCCTTAATCATTCCATATATCAAGCTGGAAATTTCGCTGTTCTATCCGCTGACGAGTTGCGTTATCGTGTCCTGTCGATCAACTTCCCTATCAAAAATATTACTCATTCGTAAGTTGTATTTCCTAAAAAAAAAATGAAAAAGCAGGAGTGACCAGTGATAAGTGAGTGACTTAAAAAAAGTAGATTAGTGTATTGTGGTTATTTAGGTTTACTGAATTGGTGATTACTTTCAGACAAATTGATATTATTCGTTATCAACGTAATGAAACAGAACAAATGTGTTTTGACCTGCTTAAAGGAACCTTATTTTGCTAATAGTGTAATGTTGAATTATGACTTTTCATACAAAGTGGACATATCTGCTATTTTTTGCTAATAGTGTAATGCTGCATTTTTTTTATTGCTTCACTTAGCACAAGTGATGAGAAAACACAGAACAAAGCTTGTAATAGTTTAAAAGGCTGTGAAATAATACATGTTATGATATGTTTTGACTAGCTGGCAAATAGTGAAATGCTTAATTTTTTGTCTTTTTATACACAACTAAATGTATGTGGGGAACATGTCTCCCTTTTGTTGAATTGGACTTACATAAAGTGGAAATGTAACTAAATAGTTGCATGTTAAGCTAGTTGTAACACTAGTTGTGTTATGCTAATAGTGTAATGCTGAATTTTACTCCTATTATACCCAACTAAAATGAATGTGGGGAAGATGTCTCCCCTCTGTTGAATTTGACTTAATGTAAAGTGAAAATGTAACTAAATAGTTGTGTGTCAAGCTAGTTGTAACACTTGTGTTATGATAATAGTGTAATGCTGCATTTTTGTCTTTTTATACCCAACTAAAATGAACGTGGAGAACATGTCTCCCCTTTGTCCATCTGGCTATTTTCAAAATCCAGATGTGTTTTTTTAGCATAAAATCCTAATCTAACACGGCCAAAGCTAAATTTAACCAAATTTTTTCCTAGTTATTGTAGCTATACTGTTAGAAAAATGTTTGTTTTTACACATCAGCTCAGCTAACCTGCACCTAACCTGCCCAGATCTTTGTTCAATATTCCTGGCAATGTTTTCTTTAGGATATGGACTCAGTAATCCTGAACCTATCCTGCCATGACCTAACGTTAAATGTACCGTATTTATAAGGAAATTTTTTTTTTGCATCAATCCCAACTGCCCTGGACCTAACCTCTGATAATAGGATCTTGGTTCAATATTGCATCTTATTCTAAGCCATATTTTGCTTTTGTTTTTACATCAATTCAACCAACCCATCCAATCCTAATCTCTATTACCTGAGGATGATAGAAATGTGTTATTATTTGGGTATTTCCTCTATGTCAGTTCAAATTAACCAACCTTAACCTAAATTTGTATATCTGGATCTGAACTCACTTTTAGACCATATTTTTCAGTAAGGAATGTGATTCACTATATCCTTATTTTTAACATAACCCAATTTTCCTTAACCTGACCCATAACTAAGGGTTATCTACCCTCTCCCCCTTAACCTCAAAATTGTACTATATTTTTGTGGTAGAAATATAATTATCCGGGATAAATTATGATAATGTGACATAAATTAGGGTTAATTAAGAATAAATTTAGATAATATGGCATCAATTAGGGTTAAATTAGGATTATGTGATAATACATTCCTATTTTTTTCAAGTCGTGCATTAATTGTGCAAGTCGTATACTAAATGTGCATGTTTTGTAATTATATTTCTTGTAATTGTGTATTTGTGCTAGTAGTGTGTGAATACATTGATGAAAATTGTAAAATAATTATGTTGGTAGAAGTTGAGTAGTGTATATTGTGCTAATAGTATATATATGCTAGTTGTGTTTCATATGAAGGAGAGTAACTTGTACAATTGTATTTGTACAAATTGCGTATTTGTGTAAGTTCTGTATGTGTTTTCTAAATAATTGGTTTTCCTGAGCGAGTGTAAAAGTGTATTAGCTTTGTGACATAGAAATTTGGTATAAGTGATGTTTATGAAATTGTGTAATTTTTGCGGAAGCGCATTTTTAGTTGTAAACGTGTGATTGCAATATGTTAGATTTGTGCAAATACAATGCTCTGTGTGTCATATATTGAGTGTAAATGCGATATTGTGTGAAAATTTTGGCGTTATATTCTGTACTATTGGTTTTAAATATTTTTAGTTTTGTACAATAGTGTCTTTTTGTGTATGGTCTATACCCGGAGGAGCCGAGCGGACAGCACGCTGGACTTGTGATCCTGTGGTCCTGGGTTCGATCCCAGGCGCCGGCGAGAAACAATGGGCATAGTTTCTTTCACCCTATGCCCCTGTTACCTAGCAGTAAATAGGTACCTGGGTGTTAGTCAGCTGTCACAGGCTACTTCCTGGGGGTGGAGGCCTGGTCGAGGACCGGGCCGCGGGGACACTAAAAATCCCCGAAATCATCTACAGATGGTGATAAATTACTATATTTTAGTGTGCGAAATCATAAACTCAGCATTTTAAATAATAATCAATAATTTATTTCAATATAACATATACACCCTGGTTTTATATAAGGGTAATTGGTAAATATTTTGGTAGTTGCTTGAATATTATGGATTTCTTGCTGATTGATATGCATAAATATTATGAGTATTATCATTTGAGAGATTATTGGGATGCATGTAAACCTCATATTGTTGGAATCTTGCCTATGATTTCAACTGTAGTTGAAATCTTGAAACAACTTTCAAGTTGCCCCAGCAAG